AAAAACCTGAGAGAATTCCTGGAAGCTTGGTATTCAGACAAGTCAGCCATCAACAGGCACATAGAGATAAACAACATTTACACACCTAAAAACCTAAGAAAGCTCAAAAAGACCAGAACACGTCCTCTCCAGCAGCCAACACCCAGATAAGCAGGGATTAACACCAGACAAACAATCAGGCAGAAAACAATACCCCAATCAAAGAATTATCAAGGAGAAAACTGCACCCCCACTAACACTGGCAGGACAAGCTGCTGTATATAAACGGGGCAAAGCCCACACTCCCTCGCACTGATGATGTTACCTCGTCAGGTAATGAACCGTCTGCAAACAAACCACCAAGCTCAGAGAGCACCAAGGACTCCAAAATGAGAAGAGGAATAAAGCTCAGCAGGCAAAAACAGAAAAGGCGGTGTGCATCTTAAGATGAACGGGGACCAGGACAGTGTAATTTTGGCCATGGAGAAAACCATACCAAGCCTTGGTCTCCCTGGGATCCTGGGAAATAGGGAAAAAACAGGATGGAGCCTTTGAGATCTGTTCCCAAGGATCTGCCTTGGGTCAGTGGCAGCTTTCCCTTGCATCCTGTGAAAAGGGCAAACTTCCTGACCGCAAGATCTGTGCAGCAGTCTACCTGTGGAGGTTGTGGGGCCCGCACCTCTCAGGGATGGTGCTACTGGTTCTCCCGTATGTTGCAGGAAGTTGGACTAAATAATCCTTGAGGTCCCCTCAGAATTCCAGGGATCTACAGGAGCACTTATGACAAGTCCCCAAATTGCAAAGGGACTCACTGGCCACTAAACTTGCCCTGCCCTGCATGAAGCTTCATTAGCGTTTCCTGTGGCCTGAATGCATCATGTTGTTTGCTTTCCCCAGTCTCAGTCAACAAAACCCGCAGAAGAGGCCGATGTCTCAGGACCACAGGTCCAATCCTGCACGGGTACTAACTGCTTGAGCCCCTGAGGAAAGCTGAGGTGAGCAGGGAAGTTAAGTGAGCTCCAGGGAAGGACACGGAGGTTGTGTCTCCTCCTCAGCGGAATGCATTTCGCTCCCTTATATTTCATTATTCCACGGGATGCTTTTCACCCTTATTAGATGCTCAGACCCACTTGTATAAATGGATTCAATCAAGCTGGTGGGCGGAAATTACAGGAGCTTCTTGGTCTGAATTTCGAAACCAGCAAGGCGCCCCAGCAGCCTCCCGCGGTGGTAGGTCAGGGAAACACCCCGGCCGCCCGAGGGCAGGCGGGGACC